TTTAAGTTGTAAAAAAACAAAGATTATTATGGAAGCCCATTTCCACCACGGCATAAAAAATAAAGGAAATTGCAACTTTTTATTTCACAATTCTGAGGTTTTTATCATATTTCTGACTTTTTTTTTTATAATAATAATAATAATTTTTATTTTTAGGCTTTTTTTCTCAGAGTTTACATGTCAGAATTATTTTTTGTTTACTTATTATTATTTAAAATTATTTTTTTGTTGCTACACTAAATTAAAAATAAGTTTTTATCTCACAATTCTGGCATTTTTTTCAGGCAATGGCAAGTTTATATCTCACAAATTGAATTTTGAATTTGTTTATATCTTGCAATTCTGACTTTATATATATTTCTTGACTTCTGAGAAAAAAAGTCAGAATTGCTAGAAAAAAGGACAAAATTGTGAGATATAAACTCATTATAAGGTAAAATGTTTTTTAAGGTTTTTTTAAGCATCCTTAAATTACTGGAGTACATTTTACAAGAAAATACACATTTCAGTCTTTCTACTTACATTTTTTTACGTATAATTCAATATTTTACTTGCTATTTCTTTGTAATTAATTGTGAAATTTACTAGCAATTTCTGAGTGAAATTTGTTTCTATACCAGATGTTTGACGTGGTACAAAAACAGCAGTACCGTTCTGCTAGAAGATATAGTTCCTGGCATAATAAAACGATATCGATATCTTTCACCATATAGTGTATTTTAACATGACTGGCTGAAAAATAGCTGTCTCATAATAAGGTTTAATTACTCTAGTGCTTTAGATTCCATTCCTAGCTTGCAGGCTTCGTCTGATCAATGTTAATTCAACACAACCCTGACTCCAAATGTTAACCAAATACTCGCTGATCCGTTAAACATGGTCAAGACTTGACAGCAAAGAAAAGACCACAGACAGCGGCCACAGTGAAAGATGTGATGGATCCGTGGTCCAGCGTCTGAATCGATCTCCATCTCCCAAGACCACCATCCCCATCGCAATCCATATATTGACTCCTGTTGTGAAAGTGAACCTTTTTTACCCTTCTGCTGTTTGATGGTGCAGTGGAGCATTTCAGGGTGATGGTGGGGTGAAGCCAGCGGCTAGATGGCGTAATTAATGCTGAGTGGGGCCATTACCAAACTCATTGCTGATGTTGTGTGTTATGAAATGGTCTGTCTATCTCTGTCCTGGAACCAATCCGCTTAATCCATCTGAAAGAGAGCAAAACAAGAGAATGGAGGCTGTAAGCGTGTCGGATCAACCTTTATCCCTCACTGGTGGTTCTCAGCTGGTTTTGCTTCAGGATCCAGTTTTTATATTGGGCATCAGTATATCAATAGGTTACTACAATGTTAAAATTCAATTCGGATGGTTTCATGCTCTTGGCAGCACAGAACACACTGTGGTCGACACAAATCAAGTTTATGCTGGTTGCAAGTGAAGCTGAATTTAAAATAGTGCTGTTTGTGAGGACCTTTTCATAATGTCTCCCTAGCAATTAATGCCAAGTTTTATTGAATGGCACTTATTTTTGCACTCTATTATGCATTTATAATTATTTTTTATAAAATAATGAACAGATTTGCAACGCACCAGTTAAGAATCACTGTTCTAGAACAGAAGTTGTCCATCTTTAATAGTCATCTAATAATAATCATATCTTATTTAAATCAATTTTTATCACTGATTTTTTGTTTTGTTTTATCTATTTATTATTATTACATTTTTACAGTTTTTCTCTAAACTTTTCTTTTTGCAATCATGACTATGCATGATTATAGTTTGTTGCAGTCTATTATGTGCATTTATCATTATTTTTGATAAAATAATGACCAGACTCGCAACTCACAAGTTAAGAATCACTGTTATAGAATAGTTTTCTGTCTTTAATAATCATTGCACTATTTTTCCCCTTATCTTATTATTTATTTATTTATTTATATCAATATTTTATCACTGATTTAATTTTTTATTTTATTATTTATTTATTTAGTTAATCTTATTTTTATTATTATTTATTTTTACATTTTTACACAATTTTCTCTAAACATTTCTTTTTGCTATCATCCATGATTACAGAGTTTGTTACATATTATGTGCAATTATAATTATTTTTGTTATAAAATGTTCATTATTTTTTCTACTCACTACATTTTTCAGTACTGCATTACTGTATTACGTATGTATTTAAATACTTCTCACTGATTTGTATTTATTTGGTTGAATCTTATTTTTATTACACTATTTTTCTCTAAACTGTCTTGCAGCCTCCAGTTTGAAAACTCCTGTTCTAGAAGTCAAAAGCCAAAAGAAGATTAATAGACAAAGAAACAAATCAGATGGAACGGTAACCGTTGCTTTCTCAAAATAGTCTCCCAGCAATAAACATGCAATGCCACTGGTTCTTTATGTTTATAAGGGATCTAATTATTTCAAAACTGCTAATTAGCTGAGCTCGTTACATGGAGGGTGGTCACTATTTCGTAGTTGTTTACTGCGGGCTGTTCATCATGAGATTATGCTGGGTGTTCAAACTGACCTCAGCATGAGTAATTTCTCTGCTTTCTGCTCAGTGTCACTTTTTAACCTTCAACGCATATGAGCAAACACCCAGGAAACATTGAAGTGAATTTCTCTGAGACCCTACATGCCACAGTTGTAAGTCTGGATATCCTGTACAGTGCAGTTTTTTTTTTAGAGATATCAAATGTTTGGAGGTTTAATCATAAACACTCCCTCTCCTTGGTCTTTAAATATGACTGATATTGATAGAATGATCAAATTTAGCACTCTTAGGGAAATATGATAATGTTTTGTAATGATCATTTAAATTTGGCTAATTTTCAAATTGTTTGTCGTAAATGAACATATCAGAAAAAATGTTATGGGGTTTCAAATTGGAATATGACTTCTTGTTACGAAACAGGGCACAATTTTCATACATGTCTTCTGTAGAGACAAACATGTTAATCAGGCATTTTGGGGAGACACAAGAAGAAATGATTGATCATTATTCCTATCAAATATGAGATATTCTTATGAAAATGTTGCCAAGTTATTACTCCCATTATTACACTTCTTTTTGTCATTATGGTTTGCCCCAAGAACACAATAATATGCAAATTAGATGCAATCTATAGATATTGTATAGAATGGGGAATATCAATTTATAGACATTTAACACACATATTGTATAAAGTAAACGAGTATATTAAATCATTCTGTTATATCTTTCATAACATAGAGAATCATCTTTGTACAAAGTTTGGCTAAAAATATCCTGAAACCTAAAAACTGATTTAGGTTTTTAGATGAAAACATTGTTTTTGACTATACATACCTTTTCATGTCTATTTGTTTTTTTAATATCTTAGTCCTGGCGTCCACTACAAAGGACTTTTAATAAAATATGAATAAAATATATTTTTTTGAACATGTTTCACCATTTGTTTCTTACGCTCCAGCCAATGCAATGACATAATTTAAACAACAAAATTCACAAAACTTTTTTTTTCGGCTCTCAGGAGGATAGTTCTTTTTACGTCTCATACATAAAGCCTCATTTTCTGATTGTCTGCTCTTAGTTCCAGCATATAATCTTTCAAACTCTTTATTTAAATCCACTATTTATATTTTTAAAACTCTCCTCACCTCACCAAAGACAGGCGGTAATCGAGAAATGTTTTGTGTGATAGGCTACAGCTCCCTCGTGCGGTTTTCTATTCAAAAGCGCATGCGTGCTTTTTACTTCCGGAAGCATTAGGTTTATAAACATAATCTTATGTGCGACTGTCACAAGCTGACGTATAATGACGTTTTTAATTAATACTAGCTTAAAATTACTTAACTGTGTTAAAAACGGAAACATACATCATTTTTATTGTGACTTGTGCTTCAGGAAAATTGTCTTCAGACTATTCTGAGGCTGCACAAGGTAATGGCAAGTAAAACATGTTAAACATGTTTATATTGACCTTTAAACATTTACAGTAAATATTTCTTCCACGTGCGATACTGCATTACTATTATTGAATGTTCGACCTGCCATAGTAGTTCAGTAATAGATAACACCATGATTCAATATTGTTTCATTCGTGTGGTTATTATGATGAAGTTTGAAATGAATGTGCTTTTGAATCAGAGTGAAGAAACTCAAGAGAAGATGCCAGCTAGAAACACTATAAACAGTGGAGTCAGATACTCCAAACTAGCCCGTGATGATGATGGATACATTGATCTCCAGGTGAGAGAAAAAGGGCTTTTAATGCTCTTAAATGCATGAATCAGTGTTGCTCACTTTAAACGTTGTTATATCTAGGGGTTATGGGTGAAAAGGGGTTTTCAAGCATCAAAACAATAAGTTTAATACAGCTTTATTTCCACCCCATACCTTAGAATGTGTCCTGTAAAATTGTTTTTGTTTTTTTTCTGAGCAAAAAATTTTTTTTACTGTGACTTACAGAAGACACTTACTAAAATGTCATTCCGTGTAACAATAGTTCATATAACAAAAAAATCTTGTCAGGCATATTTACAACAAGAATCATTAGATGACATTAAAAGACTATTTAAGGATCACACTGCAGACCCAAAAAATAATAAATCGTAATTTTAAATCTTTACCAAGCTCCTTCAAATCACTAGGTTTTACCCATTTGTCAGCAAGAAGTTTTTAATAATTTAAAATATAATAAAAGTTATTATGATCATTTTTACACACACATATATACACTGAACAAAATTATAAACGCAGCACTTTTGTTTTTGCCCCCATTTTTCATGAGCTGAACTCAAAGATCTAAGACTTTTTCTATGTACACAAAAGGCCTATTTCTCTCAAATATTGTTCACACACTAACACAGATTTAGACAGATTTGTGAACAATATTTGAGAGAAATAGGCCTTTTGTGTACATAGAAAAAGTCTTAGGTCTTTGAGTTCAGCTCATGAAAAATGGGGGCAAAAACAAAAGTGTTGCATTTATAACTTTGTTCAGTACAGGTAAGAATAAGTATGTTGTTTTATTTTTTGCATAAATATATATTTTACGTCAAATGATGTAACCATTTGATATTTTGACTTTTTTTTTTCACAAAAATGATTTGAAACATAAAAGTAGACCCTTTAACCCTTTACTTGCATTCCATATGCTTTCTTTGTATAAAACCACTTTTGTAAATGGAATTTGATGTGGAAACCAAAATGCGACGTTGTGTCTTTGACCTGTTTATAAATATAAAATATCTCACATAAATCAATCAACACAATGCAACACATAAATAAACACAGAAATTCAACTTTCAGTGCATTTTCTAATGTTTTGCAGTACTCAAAACCCGTTTACTGCTCTTGACTGAAATTCTGCATGAATGCGTTGTAATGTTCTTTCTCTTCTCAGTTTAAGAAAAGTCCTCCTAAAGTCCCTTATAAAGCGATCGCCCTGGCAACAGGTCTCTTCCTCATTGGCTCCATTCTGATCATCATCGGATCCCTCCTGTTAGCAGGATACTTTGAAATTAATGATGTGAGTGCCATTATTATATTACAGCTCCATGCTTTGCTTTCATGTACTGCCTTTCCAGATTGTGCCATTATTAGCTTCTCATTCAGATTTCTAGACACGTTCCTCATGCATTTGTTAGTGTGCATTAATTTGATTTCATTGGTCTGTTGTTTTATGTTTTCTATTTACACAATCCTAACAGCCACATAGTCGTCAGGGGTATTTGCAGCATCAGTGCATTTCTCATATGAAAAGCACACTTTCTACATTCTGTCAAACTATCAACTGCAGTTTTGTTCTTTATAGAGCAAAGTTTAAAGACTTAAATTAATCGGTCAAAATGTGAGAAGGACAGTTCCTCTGGTCTAAATGCATTACCATCATATTAAGTCAGTCAGTTTAGCATCCTGCATTGAACGTGTGGAAGCTTTTTCGTGAGTGGCTGAATGTGGTGAGATTACTGTACATCTATGCTGTGCAGCACCAATCCTCCAGCTAGATGTTCAGATTTAGTAACAGCGCTCTTAAGAAACCCCTCCATCTGCGGCCTGCCCTATTTCTTCAGCTAGTCCAGTTAATGACGCTCGATCAGTGCGCTAGATCACAGAGATCCAGACTAGAGCTTCCTCTTAAAAACAAAAACAGCAGACCGAACCAGGCAAACATTTTCATTCAGTCTAGCAGTATTTATTATTTTCCTACTACATTCACACTGCAAGAGAATGAGCCTCAAAAGATTAAATGTAAAGTGGATGACAGTGTGACAATTGACATTGAATATGACCATTTTAACTTCCAATCTGGGCCACTTTCATATTTGAAAATAACCTCGATACATATCTGATTTTTGTAATAACATTTGAATAGCCAGGTTGGAATTTGTGATTTTTAATTTGATATTCATCATAATTGTGCACTATAAAAAAAATCGATTAAAATGAATACATTGTTGCATTAAAATACAAATACTCTGAAATCAATATACTCTGAAAACTCTGATCTGGGCCACTCTTATATTTGGAAATATCACTGATATGTCTCAGATTTTTTGAACAGTTTGAATAGTCAGGTTGGAATTTATGTGATTTTTTTTAACTTGACATTTGACAGAATTGTGTAATATAAAGAATCAATTAAAATGAATGCATTTGTAATATATTCATTAAAATACAAAATACTCTGAAATGGGCCACTTGAACAAAAAAATACATATATTTAAGCAGAAAAATGATAATTAAAAAAAAAAACCTATTGCACTATAGATTGATCAGTAGATGACAGACTTTGAGGTCCTCAGAAAACACTTATTTTTGATAATTGAATATGACTTTTTTTTAAATTCCGATCTGGGCCGCTTTCATATTGGTAAATAACACAGATACGGTACATATCTGATTTTTGTGGTGCCATTTTTAATGGTTTAAACAGTTAGGTTGGAATTGATGTGATTATTTGTCATAATTGTGTTTTGTAAAATTGTCAATATATTGATGCAAAAACACTTTGAAATTGGTCACATTTAAATGTTCACTATATATATATATATATATATATATATATATATATATAGTGAACATTTGACACACGCGCACAAACACACACATATATACTGTGTGTGTATGTTTATATATATATTTATATAATCAGTGACATTTTTGAAAAATTTGAACAGCCAGGTTGGAATTTATGTGATTTTTGTTTTTTAACTTGACATCTTTCATATTTGTGCACTATAAAGAATTTATTAAAATTACAAAAAATGTATGCAAAAATACTCTGAAATTGGTCATATTTAAAGGGCCACTTGAACACAAATTTATTTAGACTATTTATTTATTTACGTGTTTGAATAGGTTGGAATTTATGTGATTTTTAACTCGACATTAGTCATAATTGTGCACTATAAAAAATTTATTAAGATGAATAAATTGATGCATTAAGAAATGGTCTGAAATAGGCCACATTTAGGGGTCACTTGAACAAAAAGTGTGTATTTGAGCAGAAAATGAGAATAAAATTACTGTATATTTGATCAGTGTATGACCGACTTTGAGGTCCTCAGAAAACACATATTTTGACAGTTATTAATGACCTGTGCGCATGTTTGACCTGGCGAGCTCTTGCAGTCAACATTTCTGTCTTTCTGTTACTCACAGCACCGTGATCGCACCATCCCAGTCCTGATTATTGGAATCCTAGTCTTTCTTCCTGGGTTTTACCACCTGCGCATCGCCTATTATGCCTCCAAGGGTTACCGCGGTTATTCCTATGATGACATCCCTGATTTTGATGACTGAGCGGCGGGGACGGGCTGATCTAACAGAGCTTTGAACCTGGTTTTCCTGCAGCGAGCCAGAACTGCACCGCCGCTGATGTCTGCCACGTCAAAATGACTTGACAGACTCATTTTTTTAAACATTTTCATAGACTGAGAAGGTGATTTGAATTCATGAACTAGTATGCTTACTTAGGTTTCATGTAATGAAAATCACTTTATCATGAATTTAATGCCATTATTTGTAATGCAAACAGGTTGCAGTTCAGTTGTTATGTTAGTATGTATTGAGTTACAGGTTGTTGCAACAAGCAAAGCCTGAGGCAAGAAAAACTACTCAAAACATGCCACATGCTGTTTTATATTTTGCAGCTCTTTTGATGGATTGCACTAGGGTTCAAATCTGTCATGAATGATGTGATTTTTTAATATCTTTTTGAGGAACACATTAACATTAGTTCTTGAAGTTAAAAACAAAAGGGTTTAATATTTAAATTTAAATACATTTATGTATGATGTGAATAAAGCACCATTGCAAAGTTTCCATCTTTAATGTCATGCAACTGGATTTAACTTATTTTCATTGATGTGATTTTATTGCCATTACAGAGGATGCTTTATGAATAAATAACTTGTTTTCAAATGAAGACTGACGGTTATCAGGATTGCACTTAGAAAGGCTCTCAGGTAATTAGGAAAGAAGGTGAACCCTGATAATGAAATTACATTTACTGTAGTTTTTGATGCTCAACTTGCGCCCCCGTGTGGATCATAAGTCAAGTCAAGTCACTTATTTGTATAGCATTTTTTTCCAGCTAAAGTCAGTTCATTGATGATTCAGTGATTTCATCATCCAGTTTAGCTCTCTTTCCAATAGTGTCTGTGCAATCAGTCAAGCGTCCCCAACTAAGAAAGCCAAAGGCGATGTAGTGGCAAGGAACTCCATCAGAGAGAGAGAGAGAGAGAGAGAGCAGCAGCCGACACTGTCCGTGTTTGTAACGCGAAGCAATCATGTGAGTAAGCGCTGAATCTCCACTGCACTGAGACGGAGAGACTGTAGAGACCGCGGGAAACTTCACACGCAGGACGAGATTTCCTTCAGTTTGGAGCAGAATCTGAATGGACGCCAAACAACAGCACAGTTTAACGCGGTCGACAGGTTTAACGTGCGAACAGATCCATGGGATGGGACTTAGGTTTTCCGCGCTGGAATCAAGCCTGCTTTTCTGACCATCAAAGTACGTGAAGTTTTAAAGAGCCGCTGGACGCACAGTAGCATTGGCCAGAGTCGGGCTCTGGATTTGTTATTAAACCTTTTCAAGCGATTTCTAAAGTACTTTAAAGAATATTTTAAGTGTTTTTTGGGGAATATCTCTTGTAACTTTCAAGTGGAGGAAAAACCTTTAAGCCATCGATGGAGTGACACCTTCATTTTATCATCAGTCAAGTGCCTCAAACAGGTAAAAGACACACACATGCATATGTAAGTAGACATATTGCAATCGTTTGCGCCAGCAGATGTTATTGTCAACATGCATAATTCATATATCAGAGCTGCCGTTCATATGTTTGAGCCTTCTGTTTGAATTATGATGCCTGTATCTTGCATGCAACATCTGAAGATGCTGTCCAGTTGCATGCTTTGTTCTTCATGGCTTTATTTCTGTTTAAAATTGTGTTTTCTGGGGTGCACGTGAGGTCCAGTGTTTCTCATGAGAACAATGAACCGCACACAGTCTCTCTGACCAGAGATGGACATGCTGGATATCAGTCTTGTCCAATAATGACACCTCATTCAGAGTACTTCATTCAACTGCACGAGAGTTCACTTTAAACTTAAGAAATCTTCTGCATTAGATGAATACTCTCTTTTTCTGGTATTTTATAGTAGGCTATTATTAGTAATACTATTATATTTAAAGAGCCACTTTGGCTATTCAAGTGGCTTCCATACATATAGAATAAATATAGAATACTATATAATATATATATATATATATATATATTAATAATTTTTATGTATACACACACATAATATATATATATATATATATATATATATATTATTTAACACCTTCATGTATTTCAGCTGTGTGGCCTTCTAATCTAATACATGCATTGGATATATTTGATGCATTGCATATACTTTAATGGCCTTATATGCAATCTTATCATGTTTTGTATATGTATGTCAAAAGATAAGAGAGCTGTATTTCAGATAGAGAAAGGGACCTGAGCTGTGTGAATATAAATATCTTTACAGTTACTGTTTGCCAAATATATACTTGTGGAAGCTTGGATTAGTTTGTGGTATACTTTGGTCACTGGGTCATGCCTAACAATGTCAAAATGAATGGCTTAACGTGAACTAGAGTGAGCGGTGAGGGTCAAACATCATGAGCTTTACTGACTCACCTTCTGCTCGTGGACTCGTGCTCTCATACACTGTTTAAGCAGATATTATTTACCCACATTAAACAGTGTTGTGATGATACACACAGCTGCTGTAAGAGCAAAGGTCGCAAGGATAACAAATGTTATCTTGATATCTTTAAGCATTTTATTGTTCTCTTTCGGTCTGACTTGCATCCATTAATCAGTGCTAGTGCAGCAAACCACCTGCTTCGTCTCGAGATAATAACTAGCCTAAAGGTGTTTGCTAAAGCAAGTTCACTATAAAGTGCAACATTGTCCGCCCACTTTTCAGCAGCTTTGTTCCGGATGTATTTTTCCTATAGGGATTTTAAAAAGGTTCTTTAAAGGAACGGTTCACCCAAAAAATGAAAAATTGCTGAAATTTTCCTCACCCTCAGGCCATCCAAGATGGAGATGAGTTTGTTTTTTCATGGGAACAGATTTGGAGAAATGTAGCATTGCATCACTTGCTCACCAATGAATCCTCTGCAGTGAATGGGTGCCGTCAGAATGAGAGTCCAAACAGCTGATAAAAACATCACAATAATCCACACCACTCCAGTCCATCAGTTAACATCTTGAGAAGCGAAAAGCTGCGTGGTTGTAAGAAACAAATATATCATTAAGATGTTTTTACTTCAAACCATCGCTTCCGGCTAAAATATGAGTCCATAATCCATAATAAAGCTTCCTCCAGTGAAAAAGTCACACATTTGTTATATTTGTTATATATCTATTTGTTTAGGTCTTGGACTGTTTTTGCTTGTAAACGCTGTTTGATCTGTGCATATTTCTCTCCTGATTCAGACAAGATGGCTTTTTCAATGTAGAAAGCAATATTATGAATAGAGGACTTAGATTTTACCTTATTAAAAATGTCTTGATGGATTCAATCATAATAATCTTAGGGAGATTACATTATTTGATTACCTCAATTTGACGTGCCTTATGGATGTGGGTGGGCATTAAAGTATTCTTCTGGCACAATTTTCTTGTCATATTCTCTGATTGATTGATATTTCTCTGCAGAATCATGGGTAATGTAGTTTTTCACTGGGATTCCTGCTGTTAAACCCAATTATTAAAAAGAAATGACTCAAAAAAAGTGAGGGTTTATGGCTTCAACAAAAGCATGTACCTTCGAGTAACAACCTCATAGCTCATAGTGGTTCTGTCCTTGAAGGTTTATAAGTTAACATTCAAAATCAATTCCCTTATGGAGAAAATTAATGGGATTTCTACTTCTAGAACTTCTATTACTATTGCTTATACTTGGGGACTTGGGCCAGTATACATGTCATTCTTAGAATACCCTAGCAACAACCTTGCGACCACATAGTAACATTCAAACAATTTAACAAGTGCATAGCAACCAAGATTCATGGCCAAACACCACTAGTATATGATTGCATTACATAATGTGTTCATTTTTAGATTTTCTTGCTTTAGTCATAGTTTTTTAATTTTATTACGAAAATGTCTTTTAAATTTAGTCAGCATATCAATGTTTGTTACTTTCACTCAGAATAATTACATTTTTTCAGATTTTTTTTTTTTCCGAAAGCATTTTTAAGATCTTGCAGTGTTAATTCTTTATAGAAGCCCATTTCTGCCATGGGATAAAAAAAAGTCCAAAAGGTAATTGCAAGTTTTCATTTCACAATTCTGACTTTTTTTCTTGCATTTGTGATTTTTTTTATCTCACAATTCTGACTTTTTTTGTCTCGCAATTCTGAGTTTATATCTCACGATTCTGATTATTTTCTCGGAATTGAGAGGTATAAAATCAGTCAGCTTGCATTTTGACATTTTCTTACAATTGCAAGTTTTATATCTAGCAATTCTGAAAAAAAAAGTCTGAATTGCAAGATGTAAACTAGGGCTGTCAAATTTTTTTTTCGAATTTCAAATATTCGTCGAATTTAAAATAAAAATTCACATTCTAATGCAAAAACGTTGCATTCGAATTTTAGGTGTGCGTTAAGGAGGCAGCCTTATCAGTGGCGCACGAGATGCGATGACAATGTAAGTGTCATTGCATTTTAATGTTTTTGTTAGCCTATCCAGTTGAAGCCACTAAAGTAAAAATTGTTGTTCAGTAAAAATATTGCGGAAAAAGAGAACATCAATGCAGAGAAGATCTTGTTTACGTCAAAACTGAAACCAAGCCGTTCACACAGAACACATATTATCTAGAGGGACGTCTATCACCATTGCACTCGCGTCTCGCACAAAGGAGCCGCATGTTTAGAAAGCCATGTAAAATGAATGCAGGTTTAACTTTGAAAAAAACATTTATCGAGACTTTATGGCGGGGTTTTTTTTCCCCATCCCACTGAATCTCGTGTTTTTAAATGAGAAATGTACTCTGTGTGATTGGCTTTCCGCCCTTTGAATTAAACTATGTATACATGCATTATGCTGTTTTGTTTATAGTTGCTTAAGCAACTTAATTAATTATAATTGGTTTATAAACATTATTTTAAACATTATGCACTTTTTTCACAGATAGGATCATATTTAAGTACAAAATTCGAATTTAGTTTTTCAGCCATTTTGACAGCCCTAATGTAAACTGTAAACAAGATGTAAAGAATAAACTCAGAATTGTGAGATAAAAAGTCACAATTACCTATTTATTTTTTATTCGGTGGGGGAAACAAGCTTCCATATTTCTTTCATATTTTCATTAGCAGTATGTTTTTTAAACTTGCATGATGCATGCTTTACATCGTCATGTCTTCATTGACTATAATTGACCTTCATTAAGTAGTTTTCTTTTAGTTCAGAATTTATCAGACCAGGCATTTGGAGCTAAAAGCAAAAACATGAATTTGAAGGAGATTATGTTTGTTAGTGCTTCTGCAATCTATAAATGGAGCTATTGTGTGTGGGCTCAGGGTAATACAAATCATGTCTTGTTCATGCATGGCAAAGTCACAAGACCAAGTTTGAAGGTTTTACCTCACAGATCTACCTGGGTGGTGGTAGTTTCATTGCACTTTAGCATCTAAATGATCTGCACTGGAGGGAAATCAAAGCCACTTGAGCTGTATTTGGCAGCAGGGCTCCCATGGGTGTTTAATAGACCCATCATGTCATCAAGTTATATTTCCTGACTTATTTTGCTCCAGGTTCTTGCCAAGATGCTACTTAAGATTTCCTGTGATCCCAGATGTTGTGCTTCACTGCCACTCGCTGGTCTGCACATGTTGACATCATCATTACTGTTCGGTCTGGTTTCTGTTAGCCATGATTACCGTGATAATAAGTGGTATATGAGTATCTCAGTGGCAGTACAGATCAGGATAAACCTTCCCTAAGGGCTGCTAATGCGAGAAATGTGGTACAAATGGGAAAATGATCTAATGAGCCCTTATTA